CCGGCACCAAATAATACCCATACCACACTACAGAAATATGACGATCAATTCGAGTTAAGAATCCATTGGTATTCGTAAGAAACATATGAATCTTGTACCAGCTTCTGGTGGAATACTGAAAAATAACAAGGGTACACACCACAAGCGACAGTTAGATTTTAGCTGATCTTCGAAAGGCACTCCGTTAAGAAATCACGTTTATTGACAGATGTTAGCTATATAAAAAGTAGCTACGCACGGCACAACCGTCTTATTTTAAACCGGAACTAGACATAACTCAATTGAATCTAATGTTAGGACATACCGGTATACGGTCAAGGCCTCAGCGATGAAACAAATGCCAAAATGTTCAAATTTGTACACGGATATATCGGTAGAAAGCTCAGTTTATGAAGGCATTGGCTTTGAGAGTGTTTGTTGTGTATGTTTTGTCATTGTCCGTGGTACTTGGTTGCTGTTTTGTGTATTGTATCAATATTTTCCATTTTTCATGATTCCTGATGATGTCAGATTGTTTGACTTTAACTTTTCAGCAAGTTTGCTGTTGTGATTAGTGAGTACATTTCTAATAAGTTTTAAGTGTTGTTTTATTTCTTTACTGCTTATGAATATGATGTGTATTGTTTGACTTTTTAGCTTTATCGTATGCTCTTTTGCGCTTTGTGACATTTTTTCTTATTTGATTGTGCATCCATGGTGGATCTGTTTGTCTCGCTGTAACTGTTTTGTTAGAAATTGTTTCTTGAGTAAAATTATCTAATTTTGATGTAATTTTAAGTTCATATTGATAGATCACAAAAAGCAACAGATGTATGGGTAGAAAAAAGAAAGATATCTGGTATAGAACTTGATGATTCGGCAAACTGAGCTGGTTCAGTTACCAGTTGAGACATGCCGTTCTCCACACAAATGTTGGCAATCTCTGTTCAGAGGGGAGAGCTTTGTGTATCAAGGTTGAAGTCACCTGTAACAATAATATAATCAATATTAGTATCTTTAGCCAATCCAACGGAGATTCCTTTTATGTGAGAGTAATTGACAAGGCGTTTGGAGGACGATGAAATGTCTACTGTGTTTAAGTTTAATTTTAATCCGAATACATTCTGTTTTGGAAACTTCTGGTTAAACAAGAATTCCGCAATGATTATCAGTCATTCTGCCTTTTCTGTGTGGTGATGAATAGTTTTTTTTAAATGTATAGCTGCCGAACCATCGATGTCTGGGCTTATATGAAAAGAATGAACATACATCTACTATCATTTGCAAGACATATTCTTTTGAAAAGAATATAATCCGCATACTGGTTTACTGGGTATTTTATCTTTTCCTTGCTAAATATCTTTAAGGAACGAACCGGTTTTTTATTTACTTTTACAATACAATATATGAATAAAAGAAAACTGAACAGTGCAGATCATGTGCAGGCTGATCTTGGTCTGCTGTGGTTGAAAATACATAATCAACTACAGCATGCGGAGATAGAGTTTATGTAAATACAAACCGTATAACGCAAAATGTATTTTGCTCTCTCGGCGTGTTCAGTTAACACTTTTAGAAGGCAATACTCAACTAAACAACAATGCTAAATAAGAGAGGAAGTATTTTGAATCATTATCAAAACACGTGTTATATCAAGCTTTAATAGTTGTCTCTAAAAATATATATTCCTTTTCACATTTGAGCATTTCTATTTTAACTTCTAAAGCCTTTATTTTTAGACATACTTAGAATACGCCAACTAAATATTGCCTTTCACTCAACATCGAGCTTTTCGCTCAAAGTGATATGAAATATGAGTTTAAGGAGTTTATTTTGCACGAAAAACAATTCTTGTTACAGGGTAAATATTTTGAACACACCTTTTTTTAAGAAATTCGAGTAGAACATGTTCATGATTTGGAAGTGCAGTTTTCAACAAATCGTTGTTCACTTCGACTGGGAAAAGTTCTACCGGATGCGACAGTCCTACACGGAACTATATTGATTAGTTTGTTTGTTTGTTGTTGTTGTTGTTTTTTTTAAACCACTTAAATGAATTAAGTGACTTAGACATTAATTTAGCTATTTAAAGCTGCCGTTTGCTTTCAATAGACGCTTAAGTTTGCCTGGCGTGCATTACGAATTAGCAAGTTTTTAAATTTTAGTATTAAACATATCATGTTAGCCTTATATATATGATAAGTACACGTTTCAGAAAGCAGAGAAAACAAATAATACACAGGATCATTTGAGTTTAAGTCAGTTCATTGAAATCAACAAAAAAAACCTAAATAAGAAAATGTCATTTTCTAACATAGATGGGGCACTTAAAACAGAAATATGTGCTAAAGATAATTAATTTATATACTCAGAAATTAATTTTCTCTGCATGTTTTGAGTAAGCTTTACAATATTGGGTCATTTTTAGCAATTATAGAAATTATTCTAGAAAAACGGGATGAGCAAATGATCTGAACATTTGGCACCCGAGTTATTAGTCTAGCCTACAGCAAAAGGAACATTGATCTTCAAAAAAGAGAAAAACAGAACCCCTAAAGAAAGTTCAACACAACAAAATTAAAAATGTTGCAGGCTCGGTTTGATTGAGCCTGTTCATGGACAAAGTCCCTTTATGTCAAAAATTATCTTTATAGAGTCTCTTTCATTGATTAAATGCTATATTGATAAGTTAAACTTTAAGTTATCAGTATTTCAGAGCGTCTTCTACATTATTTAAAGGTGCGAACCTGGAAAGACGGATTCTTGAAGTCCACTATTGCGAATTTCGTTACCTGTATATTCAATAAAATTGTATATGACCATTCCTTATTTTATTTAATCTTTGTCCTTCTGACTGTAAACATGTTTTTCTTTTTCGTTTCATAATTGTTCAAATGTCTTGAACGTATGAGTACACTTTTTCAGATTTATTGATTTGCTAACTTTGCATGCCGTTGGTACTTTGTAACTTTCATACAATTATATTTATGAAAAATTTTCATTACATACAAAGGATATTATTTTTTACTGAGGATAAAAAATACCCGCTGAGAAATGACCTTTAGAAATATAAGATATCAGTTTTAGATTAATACTTGGTTGATGCTCGCAGTGGGTATGCGATAATTACACAAGACTTGCTAGTCACGCAGTAGAAATATGGTGATAAATACTGCAAATTCAGTCAATAATCGCACACAACATGTAAATCATAACTTCAATCTTTTACTGCTTCCTAAAATTTAGAACTGTTTTTCTCGAGAATTATTTTGGCTCATCTGAAAGCATTCCACTCTAAAGCAGACTGCGCAGTGGTGGTGGAATTGTTCATTTCTACAATCAGTACTGAGTGTACTAATGGAGAATGTACTAAATATATTTAACTATCTACAATTTTAATTCAAAAGACCTTCCATCTGCAGCGAGTAGCTATTATTGTCTTGATTGTAATTCAATTCATAGCACAGTTTAAAATCCTTTATTTACGTACGTACGTCTATAACTTTATCTTAAACTTGTTTTATCAATGGACTATCCAGTTTATGTTTTAAAAAATTTAGATTCACCAAATTTAATTTTGATTCTATCAATTTTTACCTTTATTGCACAAGTGTGTAAAACCATTTTTATGCCCCCGCCATATAATGGCCGGGGCATATAGTGTTACCCTGTTCCGTCATTCCGTCCTTCCGTCCTTCCGTCATTCTGTCATTCCGTCATCATCAGTTTCCGTTCATTATCTTAGTAACGGTTGCACACAATCAACTCAAATTTGGCATGAGAAAATACAGGTCAAGTTCGAATTTGGTCATGGTTCGATGATTATTCGCAGAGTTATGCCCCTTTTACTTTGAAAATAATATGAAATTTTCAGTTTCCGTTTATTATCTCCCCAACAGTATTACCTATTCAACTCAAATTTGACATATGGATATGTCAAAGGAATGCACAGGTCAAGTTGGAATTTGGTCATGGTTCGATGAATTTTTGACAAGAGTTATGTCCCTTTCACTTTGAAAATAATATGAAATTTTCAGGTTCCGTTCATAATATCCTCTAGGGTATTACACATTCAACTCAAATTTGACATATGGATACGTCAAAGAAATGCACATGTCAAAATTGAATTTCGTCATGGTTTGATGATTTTTTGGCAGAGTTATGCCCCTTTTAACTTTGAAAAAAAAAGAAATTTTCAGTTCCCGTTCATTATCTCCCCAACAGTTGTACATATTCAACTCAAATTCAAGATATAGATACATCTTAGGAATAAGCAGTTTAAGTTTAAATTTGGTCGTGGTTCAATGATTTTGGACAAACTTATCTTTCCTGAATGTAGGAAAAATTTTGAATTTTCAGTTTCAGCACTCATCCTTTTGTGGAAATGTATGTAGTCATTATTTTGGCTACAAATATGCAATACGCAATTTACAAAAGGTTAAGACTGAATAATTTCAGTGCCTTCAACATTGTATAAAAATGGTTTGGGTTAACATTGAAAAGTTTTAAGGGCTTGAACTTAAAATGAAAAAAAAAATCTGTGCAAACAAATTTCGAACTAAATATTATAACAATGAAATTTTGGCTGCATGCGGGGGCATCCGTGACATGATGACACATTTCTAGTTTTTATCCAGACAGACATTAATAATGTGGAATTGGTGAGCCTCATGCGATGTTTATCTGTGACAGTGGCAGTGTTGTCACCACATAAAACTTAGTCTCGCGAGAGAGAGGCTTAAATCTATCGCAGTTACATTTGACGACAAAACCAATATAATGGGTTTGCGATAGCATGGATCCAGACCAGCCTGCGCCTCCTCGCAGTCTGATCAGGATCCATGCTGTTCGCTTACCAACTATATTACAAGTAGAGAAACTGATAGCGAACAGCGTTGATCCTGATCAGACTGCGCGGATGCGCAGGCTGATCTGGATCCATGCTGGTCGCAAACGCACTATGTTGGTTTTGTCGTGACGCCGCTCATTTATTTTTTATATCTTAATTATTCTGATTTAAGGACAAATTTCCGCTGGAGAAGCAATGGCTACTATGCCATTTGGGAATGAGTTAGATGTAATCACTGTAAAAGGCAAGGATTTAAGACACCAGCTCGAACTTTCCGTGAAAGAATGGGGTAAAAACGGCGGAACTAGCCGCTTCCTACAAATGTCAGGTAAAGCTTTTATAATGTATTGATCGATTTTGTGTGAGAGAAATATTAGCAGTACGGTAGTTGATAATAAGCTAGCAGGCATTCAAGTTGGCATAACAGTCCGTAGACCTTTCAATAACAGTTTATGACCTTTTCAACTCAGTAAAGTTCGTAAAGTTTAATAGTCAATAAATGTCATGTCACCGTCTCAAGATCATATCAATTTTTATTTGATATTTAAAAGCCACATTTACCAATAAAAGAATTAAAAAGAAAATAAAAAAGGTGAAAAAGTACACAACAAAACATTAACAGTAATGGAATATTAAAAGAAATTGACATTAATGAAATATATAAAAATTACGTCGATAGCAATGAAATAGATTTTAAAGATATTTACGGCATTGTAATTGATTTTAAAAAAAGGTTGGAAGAAATATAATTAATTTAAGATATTGGCAGCATTGAAATAAACAAAAAGAGCAATGGAATAAATTTAAAGGACTCTTTATATTGATAATAATGGTATATATTTTAAAAAGACATTGACAACAATGCAATATATAAAAGTACATGCATTGGCAGCAATGAAGTATACAAAATTGACATTGATAGCGATGAAATATACAAAAGTGTATACATTGATAGCAATGAAATAAACAGTACATACGTTGACAGCAAATAAATAAACAAAAGTACATACATTGACAGCAAAAAAATATACAAAAGTACATACATTGACATCAAAGAAATAAACAATAGTAAATACATTGGCAGCAAAGAAATAAACAAAAGAACATACATTGACATCAAAAAATATACAAAAGTAAAAACATTGATAGCAATGTACATATACATTGACAGCAAACTATTTACACAAACAGACATTGGTTGCAATGAAACTATCTGGATCTTATCAACAGCATAAATCCTTAACCATTTCATTTCATAATTCAATAGACGGATAAACTTTTATTACCATATTCATACAATTTACAATTGTTTTAATATATATTTTTAATTACAATTCAGTGTAAAAATTTAAGTAAGAATTTGCTATTTATTGCTACATCAGATTATATATCTGATTTGATAAAGGAAAAGAATAGTCCGACATTTGCCAACACCTTTTTAGTTCTTTTTGTTATGGAAAGTTACATATAAACCTCTCTTTTTTTCGCTTTTTATTATGCTTATATCCCTTAAAATGTATATTTTATATTATTCGAAGGTCTACGTGTTGTTTATAACACTGGCAATCCGGTCGGAAAACGTGTGGTAGATGTTAAAGCTCTATGTTTAGAATGTGAAGTACCGAGTTACTTCCCGTTGAAAGACGATGATGACTACAGAATATTCGTGTCTTCATTTATGCTCGGTGGTGGGGATGGATACAATTTTAAACCTCTTCAAAGGAAACGTTTCAGTAAGTTTTGGAAACTTTTGCTTTGGTTTGGGTTAAAGTCACTCCTGGACCGCCTGTGTGTATAGCGCTATATCTCAGTGCTTAATCCCTCTTGTCCTTAGATTATTCGGAATACCAGCAACAAGTTCTCTGCATAAGGCAAGTAATGCAACGTGGCTTCCGTTAGTTGAATAATTTCATCACATGAAGGAATTTATAGATATGTATTTATCAAAGTCTTACCAGTTCCATTATAATTTTATACTTTGATGTTATTGCAAACATATTCACATTGTCCATGAGTATTTGAATAATGTACATTGTATATAATATAATGTGCTTGATTATTCATAGGCAACAGTAGAGTGGCTGTTTTTTATTTCTATTTTGTTATGAAGATATTAATAAAAGGAAATTATTGAAAAATGCTTTATTGCTTGGTCACATCTTACTATTGTCGCTAATTGTTCAATGTTTGGTACAACGGCAAAAACTGTTCTGTAGTAAGCTACATAATGTTTCTTTAACAATTGGATTATTCTTATTTCGGTGACAGTGTTTCCCTCGTACTAACCTATTCTGTTTTCAATTTGATATATTTCTGACAAAAAATAATGTCTCCAAATTGTTTTAGATACATTAGATCTGACAGTGGTTATCGAGTATTTTAAGAAGTATAAACCAGCGTTTCCGTCATCTGAAGGGAGGATACAGTTTACCTCACTACCAACAACAACATCAGCTTCATCAGCGAGAACTCCATCGGCTCTTCTTATCATCTTCTATTTATTAATATATCTTATCAGAATGAATGCACTGTAAACGCTATAAAGATTCGAGATATTTTGAAATATTTGCTTAGCTTGCTTGTGTGAGAGCGAGGTCCTACTTAACCATATTGCGCTTATATTTCATATAATAGAATAACAAAATATGCTGTTTTGTATTAGCTAGATGTATATGATTCTGTTTTATTTTTATAAATCTAATTAATAAATTCAGTAAATAAAATGTCTACTGTTGATAATATGGTTCAATGATCAATTATATTAAACTTTCAAGTGAAAACCATTCCAACAAACTTATTAATGAGTTAAATGTACATATCCTCTTACCTTGTGAATTTCCGTTTTAGTATATCTATAAATGTTTGTGTTTTTTCATGTTCCCCCCTGTAAATCATTTTTATTTAGATATTAAAAGCCTGATCTAATATAAACTACCGCCGAAAAAACGGAGATAAGGTCGGAACCGTATGACTTTTTTTTCTACTAGAATTGTTTGTGTTTACCTATTAAAATAAGCGATTATTCATATTTTTTTTAAGAAAATAAATAATATCGTCACCATTTAACATTGATTTTCGAACTTATTCTTTATTAGCTCAATACTTCATGTATTTATGAGAAATTGGTCTAAAATTGAGGGTTACCAGTGGGGAAAACATATTTTGATATTCAAGTTAATATTGAGGATATTTCATTTTAAATGGTATTTAAGCATAAAATATTAAGAAAAGTTGTTTGTTTGGTGTGTAAGATAATATATAAAGGATATTTGTTTGTTTGTGTGTAAGATGAAAATTTATTTCATCAAGTGGGCTTTAAAAACAGTATCCTCACGAATGGCGTAGCCACGAGTGAGAATACTGTTTTTAAAGTTCCCGAGATGAAATAAAATTACATCTTACACAACAAACAAATTTTCTTTTTATTTCATGCTTAAAAACAAGTTAAAACGGAATTTCCTTGATATTAAATTTAAGATTAAAATATGCTTCCCCCAATGGTACCCTCTATTATGTACACGTATTAGTCGAATTTCTCATAAAACACAAGAAGTCTTGGGCTGGAAAATAAGTTCGATAATCAACGTTAAATGGCGGTGATATTATTCATTTTATTATAAAAATATGAATGATCGCTTGTTTTAATAATAAAAAAAAAATATTGTAGGAAAAAAGTCCAACCATCCATCAGATTTCTGTTACTTACTGCGAATTTATATTAGACCTGGCTCTGTTAAATGTAAACGGCCGCCATTTTTAAAAGTTGTGTATTTCACGGGAGGAAAATTATTGTGTTTGATTCAGAGGGATATCATTTGGATTTGTTAGTCATACACCTTTTTAAAAGAAAGAAAACTTATTTGAGGATTGTTACAGACAATATATAAGTGTTGACAGACGTGTAAACATTCAAAAAAACGACTAGAAAATTGGAAACTTGGAATTGTTGAAAGGCTGCCTTACGAACGCTGGGTTGTTTACTTATACTTCGGACTGATGGCTGTTTTCATAAAGCATACGGCAGTTATTGCTCTTAGGATACTTAAATATGCCCAAATGTCATCAAGAGCAGTTTTGCATGGGGAAAGAATGTATTTTTCAGATTGTAAAAATGAAACAAACAAAAAATAAGAGAGGAAATTTGGTGATTGGTAATTTGGATGAATAGAAGTAAATTTCTTCTTTTTATTACTTTTGACATTGAAGTAATTAATCAATTTCAGCTTTGCTTTTCTCTAAACATCCTGACAAAATTGTCAGCAAAAAAAATATTGAGGTACCACATTTGGAAAATCTTAAAAAAGTAGTTTCGTCATTGAAAAGTGTGAAATTATATTTTGAGTATTTTAACTGTGAAATTATCAGATATAATTTCACGGATAAATCACTAATCCACTGAAAAGCATAAAATAGTATATTGTAACTATATGATTTTCTTATTGTTTTTTTTGTTTAGGATAGTGACTCATATCTACGTGCGTATTTTCTTAATTATAGCTGTACGTGAATTTAAAAGGAAAATTTGTGATTTACGTCAATGAAAATATTGACAATAAAGTTTTGATTTAATGCCAAAGGTGTTTGTCCTTACATTGAAAAACATAAGTACTTAAATGGCGCAAAATAGTGTCCGTTAAGTAAAATGAAATCCTGACGAAACCGATCTCGGCATTTACAAAAGGTCATTTCCGATAAAGTTCGTTGCAAGAGGACTGTGTATGTTTGTTATAAAGGCACATGATGCCTCAGAAATGACTTTTATTGTTTTTTACTTAAACATCCTGTAACACATTTGTTATGGTTTTATATCATGAATATTATGCTCAAATAAAGATTTATCAATATTGTCAGTTCCAAAATAAGCATTATTTGTAAAGATATTACCGAATTAACATTTCATGCTAATAAAAGGAGATAATAAGAAATTTATTTTCTGTGAATTCTGAGTCAATTTTTTTCAAAAAGAAATGAATGCTTATATTTTAATGATTACATATAATGTGGACAAATATTTGCAGTACATATTTTACATATTCCTCAATGTTTGAATATTGTTTTAGAAGCATAATTATATACATGTATAAAATTTCACCTAAGTGTGGTTACAACCTTAATTACAACATTCAGGATCTTAAAGAAGGTGCAAACATGCTTGAAGAAATATTTTAAATTAAAGCATTTTTGTAAAAACTTATCATCAAAAATAAGTATTGCTGAATGTGAAATAACTTGTCTGAAAGGTAGCAAAATATAAACAAGATTTTATTTTGACTGCTATACAAAATATTAAATCGCTGTGACTGTTCTAATTACCAAGGAGCAAAGCATGTACAGGTTGTTAAAGATATACTATGCTCATCCTACAGTAAAATAGTTTTAATTACAGAAATTTATTTAAATCTATGGAAATCTTACTTAATATGTCTGATGTGAACAAAAGAATGAATTATGTATGGGAAGCTGCGTTCCTTATAAAAGGTCAAGTAAAGTTGTTCTTTTCTTTAAAAAAACTGCCAGTTTTATAAATGACACTATATATTCATAGTAGAATTATAAACATAACATAATAACTTTGTGTGAAGTCAAAACATGTTTATTTTTGTTTACAAAGAGACTGTCTAGCAATTTCAATATTTTCTTATATCAAATTTGAGCATAGTACTGAGCATAGAAGTGATCTTGAACAAGGGATAGGGATGCAGGTGTTGCGCATGACACATCGTTTTTGTTATAGTGACTATTTGTGGCAAGTATTTACAAAATCCTTTGATCTATGAAAAAGTTATGGACCGGACACAGAATATACCCCGTTACGGACTATGTTAATCTTTGACCTCCAAGTGTGACCTTGACCTTGGAGGTAAGTGACCGGTTGTTGCGCATGACACATCATCTCAAAATTGTGAACAATTATAGCAAGTATTTACAAAATTCTTCAAAGATAAGAAAGGAATGGACCGGACACGACATGTACCTACAAATAGACAATATTGACCTTGAATGAGCAAGTGCGACCTTGACTCTGAAGGTAGGCGTCTGGTTGTTGCGCATAACATATGGTAATAGTATAACAAACATTTGTGCCAGTTATTTCAGATTTCTTTGATAAATGACAAAGTTATGGACCGAACACGAAAATGTGACGGAAAATAAAATTATCTGTAGTGTTCAGCCATCCAGACTGACAAAACATTTCACTGACACCTCTGAAAGTTCTTATTGATAGCAGAATGACTACTCAAATTATCAGAAGGAATAATGAAAAGCAATCCTGTAAATAACCATAAAAAAGCACATTAATGTTAATGCCGGGAACTATGGGAGAAATACAAATTAATCATTGAAAGAAAGTGTAAAATTATATTTTTGGCTATGGTCGATTAATAAGATTTGCCTACAACGCTGTATCAGAGAAGTTGTCAAATGTACCAGTCACCTCTATTTGTTACTCAGCTTAGAAAACTTAGCCTGGTGCAGTAGACACCCTCGATTTTAATTTTTGAACAATCGTGTACTGAGATATTATAAGTGTAAATTTTCTTGCTCGAGGAAACATCGCCTTGTCCTTAACGAAATTTTAACTTACTTTGATTTCTAGTCCGACGCGTTAACTTATCAGTCTTGCAACGACAATAAATCACCAAAAAAGCCAATCAGTGTTAATCTTAATACTAAAGCTCGGTTTGATTGACCAATTCTAAGGATTATGTTATTATATCACTATTTAAATATGAGTAACTAGTAATAGTATGAGTTTATACTGGATTATTTTATATTGTATTATTTTACATTGTATTATTTTGCATTGTATTATTTTTTATTGTATTATTGTATATTGTATTATTTCATTTAAGACCAGAGGTTTGTTAAAAAATGTCAAAATAAAATATACCATCAATTTCGATTTCATATTTATCAGGTCTGCTTATGACGTCTGTAATGGCACCTTTATTTTTTTTTCTTAGAAATCGGTTTGCTAAATTAAGTGTACTCTGAGTAGCCACTCCTGTAGTCCATTTAAATGTGGCAGAAAACATGACAATATTTAATGAATCTTGGCAACCACTTGTACAATCATCGAACTTAGTGCTTACAGGGCATACATTGGGTTGTTATTTGTTTACAGGGGTATAACTAACAGAATGAACAAAAATATACAAAACAATATATTAATTCTTCTTAGTGTGTCATCCAATGATATGAATTACTGTGACATTGTGCCCATTCTGCTGTAAATTTTGAGAGTAAATTTAAAAGTCAAAATAATTTGTTTTTATTTTTTTCCATATTTATTCTATTTTTAATGAATATTCAATAACCCACGTGGCACTCGGAAATTTCTATACCGATAATGCTCAGTTCATGAAAAGTGTGGGGCAGTTTCGGCAGTTTTTTTTTTAAACTTTATCCTAAATATTTGAAATAATCAAGTATTGGTCAATACAATAAAAATAGTCAATCTTTTGAAATATATCTGAAACCATCTAATTTAACAGAACATTTTTATAACATTAAACATGACAAAGTTTGAATCCCCACAATGACCTTGACATAACTCGTAGAAACCCGAGTCTTGTTTGCGACACAGCATATATCTATAATTATTTCATATGTAAACGAAAATTGAAATCCTTTCATGCATACTGAAGTTTTAGAGCGGACACGACCACCACCATCTTTATTTATATAATATAAAAAAATGACAAAGTTTGAACCTCCACAGTGACCTTGACCTTTGTGGTAGAAACCCGAGTCTTGTTTGTGACACACCATACATCTATGGTTATTTCATATGTGAAAGAAAATTTGCAATCCTTCCGTGCTTACTGAAGTTTCAAAGCGGACAAAACCACCACTTTCTATATTTATATAACATAAAAATGATAAAGTTTGAACCCCCGCAGTGACCTTGACCTTAGTCATAGGAACACGAGTTTTGTTCGCTATACACCATACATCTATGGTCATTTCATATATGAAAGAAAAATTAAAGTCCTTTCATGCATACTGAAGTTTCAGAGCGGACAGGACCACCACCATCTATATTTATATAATATATAAAAAATGACAAAGT